CCATTGAACATTTAAAAGTTCATAATATTGTAATTATGGGACATACCTTTTGTGGAGGTGTTAAAGCTGCTATGAAATAAGATTCTGTTGGAGGATTATTAGATTTATGGTTGAATAACCTGAAATTGGTTTATGAAAAACATTAGGATCTGATTAATTAATTAGAGAATGAAGATGATAGAGTTGCTTGTCTATCTCATATGAATGTGAGAGAATAAGTACTCAATGTGTGGAAAAACCCAATTGTCTAAAAATCCTGGCAAGATGGACATCGTATCAATATTTAAATTATTATTTTTTTAGCTGTTATGGTTCATGGATGGTTATTTAGAGTAGAAACAGGCTTTATTGAAGAATTGGAAATTGAAGAAACAATTCCAAATAATCTATCGAAAGTCTTTTAATTGAAATTCAAAAGTGTTTAACCACCAAAAGCTAAATAATAAATAGAAGAAAATGAAGACGACAGATCTAAATCTCCTTCAATAAGAAAGAGATATCAAAGGATGCAAAGTAGATTAGAAACTGAAATAAAAAAATTGGCAATCACACTTTAAGATGCTAATTAAGATGTTGAAAAGGATGTAGTTGACTAAGTTTCAGAAGTATTATAAAAGGATCTTGATTTCAAGACTGAAGATCATTGAGTTATTTAATAATATAGATCATACACGTTATTTTTATTATTATTTAAATTATTAATCTCATTAAATTAATAAAAGTGTATATATAAATATATATATAAGTGCTTTTACTAAAACCAATATTTATTAAATATGATTGAGAAATAACTATAATTATATCTGAATAAGACATTTATAATACTAAATTTAGTAAATAATTATTTTAAAAATTAATTAATGCAGTTTATAAGGAATAATAATTTATTTGATATCCTTATTTATTAAATAAGTTGTTATATTTTAATGAAATTAATACACTTATTAAATATATGTTATATATATCGAAATTTAGTGATAGCTCAATTAAATAAAAATTAAAAAAATTAGATAAATTATATTGATATTCAAAACTTATATTAACAGAACTTCAACATTATTTAATATATATATATTAAATAAAGAAAGATATGAAATTTCAAAGTTATCAGATATTTTAAATTACATTGATATAAAAAGATTCATAAATCTAAACGTTTACCAATTTTTTCTAAAAGTTATGCTTCTGTTAATGTTTATAATTCTTCATAAAACGAATTAAAATCCATATTTATGTCTTTGAATTCTAAATATGGATTTAAACAAATAACTAAAAACCATCCTAATTACAATAAATCTTTATAAACAGAATCAATTTCTTTAGTTTGTTTAATGATAGATTTAATAATTTCTAAACATTCTTACACTACTTATTAATATAATTATTAAAAGGAAGAATTTTAATCAAAATTAACATCTAAAACTTACTTAATTTTTGATGCTCTTTTATTATCTGGTTATGCTAATTCTTTTTCAATAATTTATTTTTCTTTTTTGTAAATTTCTAAATAAAAGTCTTCTGTATGTTTTATATCATTTTTAGTAACAGTCAATATTTTTTTATATTCTTAACTGATTAAATATCTGCCCCATGTTTCTCTATCAAATTTTTCTGGATTCTTAGACATTAATTAATCAGACATTCTTTTTAGATGTACATTTTGATTTTTGGAAATACAAAATATTGTTGTATAATAAAGTTCTTAATTTAATTTCAAAATTCCTAAATGTGACATCTTAATTATTTTTTGGATAACATAATTAAAAAAGAATGCAATATTTCTTTCAAATAGAAAGTATGTGTTGTATTTTAACATAGCTTTACGTCTTTTTTGTTCAGTATCATATTGATTTATTATTTATAATCCCTAATATAACAAGATTGAATACTTTCTCATGATTAATATCATCAATAGATTACTTTTCTTCGTTACTCTAAGTAGTTTAAGGAGTGGAAAGTTCTTAAACAATCTGATCAGGTTAATCAAGATATCCAACAACTAAATTCATTTCCATATATAATTTATTCAAACTTTCTGATCGAGATAATTCATCTTTTTCTTTCATCAATTATTCTAAGTTATTTTTTATTTATGCTTCTTGTATCTGAATGATTTCATGATGAAATATTTATTCCCATGAATACCTATCCTATTAACAGTTGATAATTATTATACTTTTTCTTATACAACAAGCATATGTCTTAATAATTGCTTTATTTTATCACTTCTAACTGGAGCATCTGGTATTACTAAGGCAGTTTTCTTAATATTCTATAACAAATTATATTAGTTATCTCCATCCCAAGGTGGTTTTCCATACAACATCTCAAACAACATAATTCCCATAGACCAAACATCACATTTTGATGAAAATGGCTAACCTTCAAGTATTTATGGGGCCATATAAAGAGGTGATCCAACTCTTGAAAAATAAGCAGGATCTAATTTATATGAATGAATTTATTACCGTTCATTCCAGTATCTATGACTCTAGCAAAGCCAAAATCAGTTATTTTAGCAACTCCTTTATGCAATAATATATTGGCTGGTTTTATATCTCTATGTATAATTTTCAATTAGTGAAGTGTACGAAATCCTTCAACTAAATGTTTCAAAAAAATTACTGCTTCAACCTATAAAATGAGAAAGAGTAATACTTCACTGAGCCTTCTCCCATATTTAGTTGATAAATACTTTTTTAAGTCTCCATCATGACAGTACTCTAAGAATAGATACAAATAATGTGGTGTCCGAGCAACATCATATAATTTCACAATGTGTGGATTATTAGCTTATTATAAGATTGAAATTTCTCTTTTGATATGTTCCACCATCTTGGCAGAATCCTTGATACTCTAGACCTCAATTTATTTATTATTACAGCTATTGAAATTGCCTTAACTGCAACTTGCTTTGTTTCATCATTTTTTTTAAAACCTCTATATACAGTACCAAAGGCACCACTTCCTAGTTTTGTATTGACTATTATGTATTTGTCAATTTATTTGGTAGACCATTCTTCAGACATTTCTTTGTATATTTATAATATTTCTCTGTTTTTAAAATTTATACATTTTTTTAATAAGACTTGTGGATTGTAATTTGAATCCTACAGAACATTATTAAATAAATTAATGTATTTATTATACTGTATTGACATTAATCTACTCAATCATCAGATCATTCTTTTTGCAAGATCATTGATAAGATCCTCTCTATTTCCCCAATCTCCTTGATTAATAAATGATTTTCTTTTAGCAATGAATCCTCCTCTTGGTCCTCTTAATTTGAATGCCCTATTATATTTTTAATTACATTATCTTACCACAAAAATCTATTTGCTTCCTTGAAATGTGGTCCTACTGTAGTAATTTCATGGATAAGATCTTCGATTCCATGAATACCAAATTTTCCGAGTTATTAATCTATAATAGTATTTGATGTCAATGGAATTCTTTGACCATTCACCTTAGCATATCCTCTCTTGTAAATCAAGTTCTTAATCACTGTTCTTGATGGATATCCGTATGTAATATAAGGTTCTACTTTTCTGATCATTTCAATTGTTGCTTTGTTGATTCTAACAAATGCTGCATTATGTAATTGTCTCAATTTCAAAAGTCTAAGAGTTTGTCTCACCTATGGATTCAAAGTGTTGATACTAACTTTATTCTAAAATATATACCCTCTGATTCTAATAATAAGCATTAACTTAGCTTCAGCTGGAACATAGAATCCACCTTCACTTTTTGCCTTACGAATGTTATCAATTAAACTCTTCTCAGTTGTCTTGTATTCTGCTTCATAAGCTTAAGCATTCTTTTCTAATTATGCTCTTCTAGCTTTGTTCTACCCTAATCTTTCTGCTCTTCTTTTAACAACAAGGTCTCTTAATTTTGAATCTCTTTATGTTTTCTTCACGACACTCTCTGGTACTTTTTATCTATAAATTATTAGAATTGCATACTCCACTTAAATTTAAGCCTTCTTTTACGACATTTTAAAGAATATTTAAAATCTTTAATTTTAAAATCAAAATCACCTTTAATTTGTGACAATTAATATTTTATATATAGACTTCTTTTCACAATAAATGAAAAAAAATGATGAAGTGAAATTTATAAATAGATTTATTTGTATTCCTCAGCATCTCTTATTCTATGATATTCTAAATATATTTATCCAAATCTAACAATCATTGTTAATATTTTTAGGATAATTATTATCACGAAACATAGACGATTTCAGATATGCAATTCAGAATCCAAATAAAAAAATAAGGATGCTTTTAATTTTTCAGGAAAACTTATGAAAACTATTTTTTTAGATAAATTATATTAAATGTTAGAAATGCTTTTATATAAATAAAAAATTGAGACATTTATTCTATTTTATAAATTAATTTACATATACACATTTTTAATTGATAGTTTGTTAAGGAAAAATGTTTTATTTTATTTCTAATAAGTTAGAAAAGAAATCAAATTCTTTGTTACTAAAACCATTTTATAATTGAATTAAATAATAAAACTTCTACTCCAATTTTTTTATCGAAAATTCTATTAAAGAAATAAGGTTTTAAAGTTTCATGTAATTTTTTCAGGAGGAGAATCAGAAAATTTTTCTAATAAAGAGCAGTAATGATTATATAAAAATAATCTTTTGCTAATTTGGAAAATTTCTATCTCTTGAGATGCATTTAGTTTTAAGCAAGTTTTTTAATAATTAAAATAATTTATAAATTAATTTTCATTTAATTATCAAAAATGAATAAATTTTATTTAATAGCTCTATTAAATTCATTCTTTAAATTAAGCAAGGATTATTCATAACATGTTTTTATTATAGAAAAATATAACTGCCATTTGATAAATGTATAAATTTATATTTCTTTTCCTGTTAACTGACTCATTATTATAAATATAGTAAATTAAGTTTGGATAAAAAAAAGTTAAATTTTGATTTAGTTTTATATAAAAAATTTTGTATACAAATTAAAATGGGATGTGCAATAAACAAGGGATAGGACATAAAGCAATTTAATATAAAATTACCAGATTCACGTACTTTAGTAAAATATTTAAGATAATCTTACTTCAAATTAAACAGAAGCTGATCTGCCAAATTCTGAAGAGCAATTCCTATAAATTGGGATGAATAGGTATGGTCTAGGCGATTTTCTTCCTAAAGTCTAGGAAGTATATAATAAACTTGGAGAATTATAATAAAATATTTAAGGCCAGTATTTGCTTTTGCCGGACCAAAGTATATATTTTGGATCTGTGGTTAATGGTAAAAGAGAAGGTGTTGGAAAATAGCATTGGCCAAAAGAAGGGAACTTATTAGAAGGGTATTGTATTTAAATCATTCTTAAGAACTTGGATTGACAATTAATTAAATGGAAGGGCTCGAATGATATATCCAAATGGAGATTAGTAAAAATAAAATCAAATAATAGTTTTATTGGTAATTTTCGAAATAATATTGCAAGTGGAATGGGATTATTTGTGACTTCAAAAAAATAAGTGTAGGGATTTTGGCTTAATAATAAATTAACTGGAGAAGGTACTGAAATTAGAAAAAATGGAACAATATATAAAGGGCAATTTAATGAAGGTAAAATATAAGGTTAAGGACAATTTGAATATGCAAATAAGTGCATATATAAAGGTAGCGTAGTTAAAGGAAAGATGCATGGAAAAGGTGAGTTAATATTTAATGATAATACAAGATACATAGGGGAATTTAAGGCTAATTCCATTTAAGGTAGAGGTAACTATCAGGCTAGTATTTAAGTGTCAGGCTGGGTAATTAATTTTGTTATTATTATAGTTTCATTCTAAATTTGATAATAAAACCCTATTTATCTATTTTTTTCGATCCGAAACACGAATACTTGATGAAAGTTAACATTGTACTCTAATCGAAAAGAAACTAGAACAATTTTTTGATTGATCTAATTAATATTTCTTATTAAATAATTATTATCATAAATGAATAAAATTCTATTATCATAATTTTATAATATAAACTGAAAATTATTGATGGATAAAATTATTTAAGAAGACAACATTTTTTGTATTCTACATTAAATTTAATATTATCAAGATTAAATTTATAAAAAGGAGAGATAAAAATGTTATTGAATATAATTTATAACATTTCTGCAGTCTATTGAGATGTTTTAAAAATATATAGATAATGGTTGAATATACTTAAGAAAAAAAAGTAAAATTTAGATAGAAATTATAATAAACTCCAAGAATAAAACCATTTTTATAAAAAAGAATAATAAATTTTTAGGATAAGAAATATTATATATTATCTTAATTTTATTAATGAAATAATAAACATATTAAAGTAATGTGTTATAATTAGCAGCATAAAGTTCTGAAAGAATAAAGAAATACATAAATTCTAATCATAATTCAAGCTTTGTGAAAAGTATCAAATTTTATAACAATAAGGTATTAGAAGTGGAAGCATTCCATTATTAAATCCCGAATAACATGAATTTGTTAATCGAACGCATGATCCAAATCCTCCAATTTATAATAAAAGATATCGACCTGCTAAAATAAGAGCTTAGGAGGCTTAAGATGAATTTAATAATAGTCATCTGAAGGCTGGTCCATATTATAACTTACCGAAAAACATGAGAAATGAAATATTGGCTGCTGAAAAGATGCCCATGAGATATGGTAAAAATCCAAGAACAGAAAATGAAAGACTTTAAGAAAAACTTGAAAATTCTTCAATTATTGATCATTCATACAGAAATGTAACAATGATCTAGAGACCTAATTGGAAAGCTACTATGAAAGAGAAGTGGATGAGCCAGGATACTTTTAAGTCATAATCTGCAAATTTTAATTCAAAATAAGCTTGGAGTTAAATACCTTATCGCAATCCAGAGGATAATTATATATATCTTGAATCAGAGAATTCTCAAATTGAATTTAAAAGGTTACGTCAGGAAGTATTAGAAAAATAAGGGAAGTTACCATTTAATCCTGTAATAAAGAAAAATCCTTACACAACATATTCAACAAGCATACGTACATTTAAATAAGATGAAGCATTTGGTATATAAGAAAAAACTATGTTCTCGAAAAATACTTAATTAAAACATTATAAAAGCGCTCTTATTTCCACAAAATCAGTAGATCATATAATGCCATATAATCATAGTAATAATATTTAAGCTATTAAAAACATTTTTCCAAATGCTGAAAAATAATATATTAAATCATCAGAATAACTTGGAGGAGATTTAAATTAGAAACTGTAAATTTAGTAGAAAGAAGAATTTCCAAAAATTAATTTTGATTAACAATCACCAATTCACGAATATCCATAACCAGAAGATTTTAATAATACAAATTTCGAAAAAACCAATTTTCCTGTAAAAAAAGTACACAAGCCATTCAAACCGTATTCTGAAGAAGAAGCCAAATAGATAGTAAATAAATATTTTTGCAAATAATCTTTTTGAATATTATGATTATATTGATGTTATTATAAATAATGTCTTTCAATTTTTATTAGAGATCAAATTATTTCTCATAAATAGAAAATAAGCCTACCTGTTTTTAAAAATCTCAAAATAATTTAATTTATACTACATTTTTTAACAAAGATTTCATAATATTCATAAACCAAAACCATCAAAAAGTTATAAATATATAATTAAATTTAAAAATCCATTTAAAGATCTTTGCAAAAGAATAAACTATTTTTACTTAATGTTAATGAATAATTTCAAAAATAAAAGATCTTCCATTTAACATGCTCATTTACACTTGAGTCATAAAATGATTAAATTTAAATTAAAAAAAACTAAATCCAAAATTATGAATTTATTTAATAATCAAACATTTAAGTAAATTTAAGTATCCTCTCAATATTAGTATCTTTGTAGTAAGTAATAGCTCTCTTAATTGAAATCACATATGTTTATATATATAGTTTTTAACTGAATCCATGTCTACTAATTCAAATGCTTTTATCACTTAAAAGCATCCACTTTTGTTATGTAAGGTCTGATGTGTTATTGAAATCATATTTTAGCATATCTCCCATATTGTCACCTTTCACAAATATAGTATTGTGAGAGGAATTAAAAGTAAAGATAGTTCTCTGATTCGACATCAGCAGCTATTTTTTATAAGTAGTTATAAAAGTAAAAACTATAAAAATGACTGATTGATATTTAGATCTGAATTATGACTTTAATTTTAATTGCTATTTAGTTTTATAAAATTAAATTATTTAAAAAATAAGGGTTTAGTATATTAAACTAGTAATTCACCTTAGAATGAGTAATAAAAAAGTAAAAACATCAGAACATTTCATTTGATTTTGTTTTATTGCGAATTATTTATCGTCATTACATTTAGTAGAATTATAAAATAAGAGGAAAAAGATGTGATAATTTTGTTTTAAGTGATATGGGAAATTTGAAGACCAGAACATATAAGTTAATTGTCAACGTTCCATTTACCTTTAATTAAGATTATATTAGTAATTGGATGAAAAATTTCGACTTTGTAATATTTATTACAAAAATATTTGCTTTAGAGATGTTTACAACTAATTAAAAAATAAAAGGAATCAAATAAAACAAAATCATAATAGCTAAAAAATCAATCTTTAATACTTTTCAATTGAAATAATTTTAGATTATTAATAAATGATGACTATTTCTTTAAAGAATGATGAAGGTAAAAATTTATAGAATTTAAGTATTTCCTTCATTATTACAATAATAATCATTCTCTGAATTTAGAAATTAAATGTATCTCCTATATGCAATGCATTATGGAGTAGGTTATAAATTAGGCAAATTTACAATCAAATTGAAGATGAGAGTAAATATGATGTTAAGGCTTAGAAAATTTCAATAGATATTAGTTAGTGAAACTAAGATGATATAAGAATTAACATGAAACAAAATATATCATATATTGAATTTAATGAATTCTTGATTAAATGACATTTAATTTTTTTCCTAGTAACCCAATTATTTAATACAACAGTATCGTAAATAGATCAACACAGAAATTAATTGTATTTAGAAAAAAGTTTATAAAAGATCAAAAATATATCAATTTGCCTTTCATTAATTACATTATTTATTTTCGATTAATGTAAAGATGGAAATAAAATTATTATTTGTTTCTTAATTTTTTTTATACAAAAACTCTAATATAAATAATTTTTGTGACGTTGTTAGTTTCAATCTTAGTTTAAAACAGTAATTGAAAGTTTTTGTTTCAATTTTAGTTAAAAGTAATGATTTAAATTTTTTGTTTCAATCTTAGTTTAAAGTAGTGATAGAAAATTCTTACTTTTTTTATGTTGAATCTACCCGTACTAACTATAAAAAAAATTAAATTATTAATTAATTTGTTTTTCTATCATTTAAGAGAAACATTTTATAACTGAATTATAATTGAAAATCTATAATAATACTTAAATTAATAGAAATGGGAAATATTTGTTCAAGCTGTCAAAACAATAAAAAGAAGATTAGGTAAAGAAGTTTTATTAATAATTGGGTTAGGCCTCATTAATAAGAGCCACAAAGTTTCAAGAAACTCAAGTACAATACAATTTAAAAATATGAAACGTTCACTTAATTATAATAGAATCAATACTTAAAATGGTTAGGGGTTTATGGATAGAATAACTAGAAGATTGGAAATTGGACAGCTGCATGGAATGGAGTGATCTTAGAAAATGTTGGTGGATAGTACACTGAGGATGGAAAAAAAAAAGGTTTATGGAAAGAATTAATACAGATGTATGGAAAGTATAAATGAATTAAATAAAATTTAATTAGAAATGCTTAAGTATATATAATTGGAGAATACTGTAATAATATAAAAATTGGGAAATGGATGTATACCTATGATTAAAATCAGATGTTTTATTATTTAAATATTAATTAGTGGAGGTGGTTCATATAATAAATAAGGAGCAAAGAATGGTAAATGGATTGACTTAAGCGATTATTTTTCGGACGATTCACAAATTACATATATTGGCGATTATAAAAATGGTAAAAAAGTTGGTAGATGGGATATTTTATTTAGAGGGAGTGATTAATTTGAAAAAATGTAAATAATATTATCTAATTTAATATACTTTTAGTGGTGGAGGATCATATAATGAAGATGAGATTAAATCTGGTAGATGGGTTGAGGAGAGTAAAGAGTTTCAATAAGAATCTTAAATAATTTATATTGGCGAATATAAAAATGGCAAGAAGATTGGTCGATGGAATGTTTTATATAGAAAATAATATGAGAATGAATTTAAATAGATGTAAGATAATTAATTTAGTTTAATTTTTTTTTAGTGGAGGAGGATCATATGACGAAGAAGGGGCTGAGGCCAAAATAGGTTGTTGGATGGAGGTGATAGATGGATTTGACAAATATTCTTAATTCATTTAATAAGGGGAATATAAGAATGGGAAAAAAGTCGGTTCATGGGATATTTGGTATAAGAAACCATATTCGTATGATAAGAATGAGTGGATGTAATAATATGTTATTAAAAGTTCTAATCTGTCATAGTGGTGGAGGGTCATATAATGAAAGTGAAGGGATTAAGTTCGGTAATTGGGTAGAAGTGTTTTAAGGATTTAATTTTTATTCATAAATTACTTATAATGGGGAATATACTAATGGTAAGAAGGTTGGCAGATGGAATGTGTTGTATAGAAAATAATATGAGAATGAATTTAATTAGATGTAAGATAATTAATATAGTTAAATGTTTTAGTGGAGGAGGATCATATAACAATATAGGAGGCGAGAATAAATTTGGTAATTGGGTTGAAGTATCTGATGGATATAATTTTGATTCTTAAATAACTTATAGTGGTGAATACATTAATAATAAAAAAGTTGGTAGATGGGATATTTTGTTTAGAAGAAGTAATTAATTTGAAAAAATGTAAACAATATTATCTAATTTAATATAATTTTAGTGGTGGAGGATCATATAATGAAGATGAGATTAAATCTGGTAGATGGGTTGAGGAGAATGAAGGGTTTAAATAAGAATCTTAAATAATTTATATTGGCGAATATAAAAATGGCAAGAAGATTGGTCGATGGAATGTTTTATATAGAAAATAATATGAGAATGAATTTAAATAGATGTAAGATAATTAATTTAGTTTAATTTTTTTTTAGTGGAGGAGGATCATATGACGAAGAAGGGGCTGAGACCAAAATAGGTTGTTGGACAGAGCAGAATGAAAATTTTAAATGGGATTATTAAGTAATTCATACTGGTGAATATCAAAATGGGGGAAAAGTTGGAAAATGGGATTTTTTGTATAGAAAATAATAAGAAAATGAATTTAAATAGATGTAAGAGAAATAATTGTTAATTGTTTTAGTGGTGGGGGATCGTATGATGAAGAAATAAAGTAGGGTTAATGGATTGAACTGTCAGAAGAATTTTCCCCTTCTTCTTGTATAATTTATAGAGGTGAATATAAATGCGGAATCAAAGTTGGTACTTGGGCTGAAATTGATATTTAGAAGTATGAAATGGGTGGTTGAATAACTATTTCTGTTCTTAATATTTAAATGCTTTTATATTTTTAGTTTGAGCTAAAGTTGGCTTTATGTTTGTTTTTTTTAATTGAAAGACAGGCCTGAGGACTGCTGAATTATCAAGCTTACTAAAAATCTGTATAAATCCAATACTTGGATTAATTCCCAGTTTGAGAAACATTTCCTAATATATTTTCTTAAATCTTTAGAAAATTAATCTTCTAAATCCTCCAATCAATATTCATTCATCCTACAGCTGAAAAGGTGTAGTTTTTAAAATACACCTTTTTAACAATAACTCCCCTTATTTCTACAATATTTAGCTAATCAAAATCCAGACATCATAATCAGTAGAATATCTAATTTTAATTATAATTCATATGATATTAATAAAAGAATGAATTATGAGAAGAAATATATAGAAATTATATTTATTTATATATGTTTAGGTCAAGTGAACCGATCAACCAGAGAATCAATTCTTACTTACATTTTCCAAAATTAGAAGAAAATTAAGCTAAAAGAATAAATAAAATTTAATTAATGGTTAGTGGATGAAAAGATACATAAACATGCTATTTATTAACTTCTCTCTTTCCCTTCATATCTAGTATTTATCTTATCTAACAATAATGAAATATCTTTGATTTAATATTTTACAGTCAAAAAAATATACAATCATTTATTTTATCTAATAATTTTTGATCTAATTATTTATTAATTAATTTTTGTAGAATATATATTGAATAACCAATAAAATTAATTAAATATTTTTTGATTCATTTAAATATTTGTAAAGCTAATAATTTATTTTAATCAAAATACTATATATCTAAAGGGAGTGATGGATAATCAGAAGAAATTACAGTCTCTTAAATTAAATAACTAAGAGCAAATAAGATCAATGAGGTAATAGTATTTAAAGGTAAATCTAATAAAAAAGTCAATATTAGAAAGATCATTAAAAGCAAAATAATTTTCATTTAAATATTATTGATTTTATTTCAAATCAGTTTTATTTTGTTATTGAGTATCTAAAATAAAATTTTTGAACTTTTTGATCAAATTTACTTGATAGGTTATATCGATTCAATGTTAAAATAATTAGATTGTTTAAAGGAATTNGTTCATGGGATATTTGGTATAAGAAACCATATTCGTATGATAAGAATGAGTGGATGTAATAATATGTTATTAAAAGTTCTAATCTGTCATAGTGGTGGAGGGTCATATAATGAAAGTGAAGGGATTAAGTTCGGTAATTGGGTAGAAGTGTTTTAAGGATTTAATTTTTATTCATAAATTACTTATAATGGGGAATATACTAATGGTAAGAAGGTTGGCAGATGGAATGTGTTGTATAGAAAATAATATGAGAATGAATTTAATTAGATGTAAGATAATTAATATAGTTAAATGTTTTAGTGGAGGAGGATCATATAACAATATAGGAGGCGAGAATAAATTTGGTAATTGGGTTGAAGTATCTGATGGATATAATTTTGATTCTTAAATAACTTATAGTGGTGAATACATTAATAATAAAAAAGTTGGTAGATGGGATATTTTGTTTAGAAGAAGTAATTAATTTGAAAAAATGTAAACAATATTATCTAATTTAATATAATTTTAGTGGTGGAGGATCATATAATGAAGATGAGATTAAATCTGGTAGATGGGTTGAGGAGAATGAAGGGTTTAAATAAGAATCTTAAATAATTTATATTGGCGAATATAAAAATGGCAAGAAGATTGGTCGATGGAATGTTTTATATAGAAAATAATATGAGAATGAATTTAAATAGATGTAAGATAATTAATTTAGTTTAATTTTTTTTTAGTGGAGGAGGATCATATGACGAAGAAGGGGCTGAGACCAAAATAGGTTGTTGGACAGAGCAGAATGAAAATTTTAAATGGGATTATTAAGTAATTCATACTGGTGAATATCAAAATGGGGGAAAAGTTGGAAAATGGGATTTTTTGTATAGAAAATAATAAGAAAATGAATTTAAATAGATGTAAGAGAAATAATTGTTAATTGTTTTAGTGGTGGGGGATCGTATGATGAAGAAATAAAGTAGGGTTAATGGATTGAACTGTCAGAAGAATTTTCCCCTTCTTCTTGTATAATTTATAGAGGTGAATATAAATGCGGAATCAAAGTTGGTACTTGGGCTGAAATTGATATTTAGAAGTATGAAATGGGTGGTTGAATAACTATTTCTGTTCTTAATATTTAAATGCTTTTATATTTTTAGTTTGAGCTAAAGTTGGCTTTATGTTTGTTTTTTTTAATTGAAAGACAGGCCTGAGGACTGCTGAATTATCAAGCTTACTAAAAATCTGTATAAATCCAATACTTGGATTAATTCCCAGTTTGAGAAACATTTCCTAATATATTTTCTTAAATCTTTAGAAAATTAATCTTCTAAATCCTCCAATCAATATTCATTCATCCTACAGCTGAAAAGGTGTAGTTTTTAAAATACACCTTTTTAACAATAACTCCCCTTATTTCTACAATATTTAGCTAATCAAAATCCAGACATCATAATCAGTAGAATATCTAATTTTAATTATAATTCATATGATATTAATAAAAGAATGAATTATGAGAAGAAATATATAGAAATTATATTTATTTATATATGTTTAGGTCAAGTGAACCGATCAACCAGAGAATCAATTCTTACTTACATTTTCCAAAATTAGAAGAAAATTAAGCTAAAAGAATAAATAAAATTTAATTAATGGTTAGTGGATGAAAAGATACATAAACATGCTATTTATTAACTTCTCTCTTTCCCTTCATATCTAGTATTTATCTTATCTAACAATAATGAAATATCTTTGATTTAATATTTTACAGTCAAAAAAATATACAATCATTTATTTTATCTAATAATTTTTGATCTAATTATTTATTAATTAATTTTTGTAGAATATATATTGAATAACCAATAAAATTAATTAAATATTTTTTGATTCATTTAAATATTTGTAAAGCTAATAATTTATTTTAATCAAAATACTATATATCTAAAGGGAGTGATGGATAATCAGAAGAAATTACAGTCTCTTAAATTAAATAACTAAGAGCAAATAAGATCAATGAGGTAATAGTATTTAAAGGTAAATCTAATAAAAAAGTCAATATTAGAAAGATCATTAAAAGCAAAATAATTTTCATTTAAATATTATTGATTTTATTTCAAATCAGTTTTATTTTGTTATTGAGTATCTAAAATAAAATTTTTGAACTTTTTGATCAAATTTACTTGATAGGTTATATCGATTCAATGTTAAAATAATTAGATTGTTTAAAGGAATTAATACAGATATAGTCCAAAAATTTAAAAAGGGGGGAAATTAGGTAGCCCAGCACACCAGTTACCAATTATAAAACTCCGCAAAAGAGTAGGGCTGTTTCAGAGTACTATATGAGGACCATTTATGAGAGAACCCTCCCCTAATCATTGACACAAAAGTAGAGATAATTTTTTTTAATTTTTTGATAATATTGTTATATTTATAAGGTAAATAAAAAGGAAAGTGTAATTATTACTAGCGCCTATACAATATCATTAAAAAAATTTAAGAACTACACCATTCTAAAGATACTTTGTGATTTTGAGAATTATAATTGTGTTAAATTGTAATAATAATAATAAAATTTTTTTGATAAGAAAGATCTCTTAGAAAATTCTAAATTAACGGAATGTGCAGTATCGGAATATGAACTCATAATAATTAACCCAAGAATTACTAAAGAAATTTAAATGCTGCCCTATCATATGTAAGGCCATCAGCTTCCCCAACTGAACCCTTCTAATTCTCAAAGAAAAGTCAGATGACCTTAACTCAACTTATCACACATAATCAGAGATGAAGAAGATGATTTACATCATGCATGGCTCAACAGGACATAGCTATTCTTTCTGGATAAATTATTTCAAGAAAAGAGTAATAAAGTAAGTCTATTAATTTCCAATTGGAACTACTATATAATCAACATCAAATGAGATAGAGTAAAATTAGATGACTCATTTAACAGCACGGAAATATATGTCGAAAGAGTAGACCAACAAATCCCCCTCCCCCCCCCCCCCCAATATAATCAACATCAAATGAGATAGAGTAAAATTAGATGACTCATTTAACAGCACGGAAATATATGTCGAAAGAGTAGACCAACAAATCCCCCTCCCCCCCCCCCTAAATCAACAATAGATCTCAAATGCATATATTATCATAGAAGATCAGATTCCATAACAGAGACTAACGAAAAAGGCCTAAGAGGATCCTGGGGCTTGGACCTAAAATGAAAAAGTGGAACTCAGAAGGAAATATTGATGGACAATTTTTACAAATTTATTAGGCATATCCAAGAAGCAGTTCATACGATAAGATTGAATAGTCATTTTTGCTGATAGCGACATTGACACCTATAGAAGAATAGATAATGGGAATATTATATTGTTTACTAAGTTGATGGATAACACTGTTTGTTTTTCCCTATCAGCCACTAAGTTGAAATGAACCTTTTCTGTAAACAACTCTGCAAATTCTTGTTCTTACTTGAACAATCTAAAGGTGAATACAACCTAAACAGGAGCAGGAGTTTGTGTATCCGTCCTTTCTGCTAATTGGACTTCGAATGGCTGAATGCCCTAGGCCAATATTGTAACAACCAAGCAAGTGCTGACCTTATGAGACTATTTGGACAGCCAGCGGTCAACAATGTATGAAAATAAAAAATAGAATAAAAATAAATATTATTGTGTCTATTTGATATCAAGAAGATAAGCGGGAGATTTTTAAGATAAAAATGGGAAGCATAAATAGATATGATAGAAGATATTGAAAAAAAGCATTTTTTAATTTATAATAAACTTATTTTAGAGGAGAAGTAATAAATTTTATGAAAATCAATCAATTTGGATATTTAAATGAAAAAAATTGTATAATTCTGGATGATCAACCAATAAAGTTCAACAATAATATTATGATATAAAAAATAATTTGAGATTTGACTCTAGATATTAGTACAAAAGAATGTGAAAATATTAAACTAAATTTTAATTTATTAACAGATAATTACATAATTCATTTTTTCATAAGTATTAAATATTTTTGACTTTCTCGAATCATTTAATTACTTAAGTCTTTTCTTATGTTATATTCATCATCCTACAGGATTAAAAGAGCATATGAATAAGTATAACACCTTAATCATTCATATTTTATTTGTAATAATCAAAGCGTAAACAATTATATTTTGATTATTTAAAATAAATATATTCATGATTTATTCTTGATAAGCAATTACATTACTGCTATAATGTGAGTTTTATTTAGATCATTTATAGGTGAAAATGTTTAACTATTTAGAACCTCTTAAATATACTCTTTTTTTTAAATTTTGATGTCCACTTTAGTATTAAATCATTGAAGAGAAAAATTGGTTTTTACTGTGTTCTAATTTTGACAATAGAAATTTCTTAATTAGTATTGTAAAATGTATATTCACTTTAAGCGTGTGATGAATTGTCAACTCTAAGAATTACTTGAAGGCCTGTTTTTTTAATAAGCTTTATCATTAAAATCTCTATAAGTTAGTCCCAAATTTAAAATTAACTTCTTTATTGTAATAATTGTTTGAAAAAAAATATTAGGTCTTGATAAAAAATCAAGTAATTAGAAGTAGTGTATATTAAGAATTATTACTATTTGATTTTTTTGTTTGGCCAAGTATAATCAATTTACTTTTTATTAACTACTATTAATAAAAATTAAATATTTAAATTTTAATTAATTAATTTCAATCTTTAAGTTAGTTATCATTTAGTCAACTTAATCATTTTAGAATTTTAGACAGAATTTTAGAATTTTGAAATTTGATTTCTCAAAGTAATTTACCCACGTTTATCAATTCAAGATTCCTAAAATCTTTATTCTTAAATGATTTATCATATGATTATTCATTTTAACTATACAATTTTCCTTGAGTATTGAATTAATTTTCAAATATTTGAATCTTGATTGAAAGATATTAATTTTTATCAATAGAAAAAAAAAATATTTTATCATAAATTTCATTTAATTATAACAGTAATATTATAATAAAATATTTATTTAATCTGAACTTTTATGAAATTAATAGATTTTAAATGTATATGAAAGTTATTTGCATATGATTATCGATTAAATTAGTACTTTTAATGAAGTAAGAATAGTATGTTGCAATTTTAGCACATCGAATAATAATCAATAAGTAATTTGTTTTAATTGGAAGAACAAAGATGAGTTAATTTATTGCAGAGAATTTTTTATTTTACAATATTCACATTCTTTTAATTAATGTTAAAAGTGATATATCTTTAATTAAAAATAGTTTCACATCAACTAATGATCAATAATTTCTTATCTGAATCTTTAAATTATTTTAAATAATTAGAAAAGAAAATAGAAAAAAAATCTATTATTAAAAAAAGTAGACTTAGATTTCTTCTCAAAATTTACGAAATTCAATCAAATTTTGATTGTGTAACTTTCCAATTTATCTTTAATATATAAGGTAAGAATAATAATATCAAAAATATTAGAATAATAAAATAATTAAGGAGATATTCACTTTCTTAATTATTGAACAACTCAACAAAAGAGTTTATAAATTTTGATCAGATAATTGACTTAAAAGCGAATTCGTCTTTACAACTGTCTTTTATTTCTTCTCTCTTTGTACTAGTTTTGAACCAGCTCGTCATCCTTAATTCATTATTTCAACTTTTGATAAATTCATCAATTTACTAAACTTTATTAACCAATTATTTTTTTAAGGTGTTTTAATTTCTTAGTTGTAACCTTCTAAAAAGATTATATGATTTAAATATAAGTCTCAAAGCTAATTTTATGATTATCGAGATTCTTTCAAATAAATAAAATAAAGGATTTATGGACGAGAAAAAGGTTCTTTAGGCAAAGCTAATCCAGTTAACATACAATTGTCAATACAAAATTAAAAATTAAAGGGTTTAAAAAAAATTGATTCGTATAAGGATCTGATCTTACAACTTTACCTAATTTTTTTATCACATTTAATTTTTTTTTTTTTAATAATATGCATCTCATAATTTTGATTATCAGATTTTGAGTTCTTTTTCTAATAAATTTTTAGAATAATTTTCAGATTTCATTGGCAACTTTAATTCTTCTTCGTTAGCATTTACATATTTTCTTCAATTTCTTCACACAGATCTGCTTTTCCCTTCAGATTGAACCATTAAAAAAACCATTCCTCATTTTGCTTTTATTCATTTACATTGCTATATTTCCTGACCTAATTTTTACCACAAAAATCCTAATTTCCTTCTAATGATTTTATATTTAGTACCTATACAATTAGGATTAAGATAAACTTTTAATCATTACAGATAAAAATTTTTAAAACAAAAAAACATTTTAACTAAATCAAATATATTCAAATTATTTTCTTAAAGACTTTTTGAAGTAATTTTGAAAGTATTTAAAAATAAATAAATCCTGATTTAGATAAGAATAAGATTAATTAAAATAATCCATAACATAATCATAAAAAATCAAATATAAAGATTATAACTATATGATATTATGAAGAAGGATAAAAATCGTTTTCCAAACGTAATTTTCTTGTGATATACATTGAATTAAAAGAGTATAAATTCAACCTTTACATATGGCAATTTAAAAAATGGTAAAATAATACCTATTATNTATTACTATTTGATTTTTTTGTTTGGCCAAGTATAATCAATTTACTTTTTATTAACTACTATTAATAAAAATTAAATATTTAAATTTTAATTAATTAATTTCAATCTTTAAGTTAGTTATCATTTAGTCAACTTAATCATTTTAGAATTTTAGACAGAATTTTAGAATTTTGAAATTTGATTTCTCAAAGTAATTTACCCACGTTTATCAATTCAAGATTCCTAAAATCTTTATTCTTAAATGATTTACAATTTTCCTTGAGTATTGAATTAATTTTCAAATATTTGAATCTTGATTGAAAGATATTAATTTTTATCAATAGAAAAAAAAAATATTTTATCATAAATTTCATTTAATTATAACAGTAATATTATAATAAAATATTTATTTAATCTGAACTTTTATGAAATTAATAGATTTTAAATGTATATGAAAGTTATTTGCATATGATTATCGATTAAATTAGTACTTTTAATGAAGTAAGAATAGTATGTTGCAATTTTAGCACATCGAATAATAATCAATAAGTAATTTGTTTTAATTGGAAGAACAAAGATGAGTTAATTTATTGCAGAGAATTTTTTATTTTACAATATTCACATTCTTTTAATTAATGTTAAAAGTGATATATCTTTAATTAAAAATAGTTTCACATCAACTAATGATCAATAATTTCTTATCTGAATCTTTAAATTATTTTAAATAATTAGAAAAGAAAATAGAAAAAAAATCTATTATTAAAAAAAGTAGACTTAGATTTCTTCTCAAAATTTACGAAATTCAATCAAATTTTGATTGTGTAACTTTCCAATTTATCTTTAATATATAAGGTAAGAATAATAATATCAAAAATATTAGAATAATAAAATAATTAAGGAGATATTCACTTTCTTAATTATTGAACAACTCAACAAAAGAGTTTATAAATTTTGATCAGATAATTGACTTAAAAGCGAATTCGTCTTTACAACTGTCTTTTATTTCTTCTCTCTTTGTACTAGTTTTGAACCAGCTCGTCATCCTTAATTCATTATTTCAACTTTTGATAAATTCATCAATTTACTAAACTTTATTAACCAATTATTTTTTTAAGGTGTTTTAATTTCTTAGTTGTAACCTTCTAAAAAGATTATATGATTTAAATATAAGTCTCAAAGCTAATTTTATGATTATCGAGATTCTTTCAAATAAATAAAATAAAGGATTTATGGACGAGAAAAAGGTTCTTTAGGCAAAGCTAATCCAGTTAACATACAATTGTCAATACAAAATTAAAAATTAAAGGGTTTAAAAAAAATTGATTCGTATAAGGATCTGATCTTACAACTTTACCTAATTTTTTTATCACATTTAATTTTTTTTTTTTTAATAATATGCATCTCATAATTTTGATTATCAGATTTTGAGTTCTTTTTCTAATAAATTTTTAGAATAATTTTCAGATTTCATTGGCAACTTTAATTCTTCTTCGTTAGCATTTACATATTTTCTTCAATTTCTTCACACAGATCTGCTTTTCCCTTCAGATTGAACCATTAAAAAAACCATTCCTCATTTTGCTTTTATTCATTTACATTGCTATATTTCCTGACCTAATTTTTACCACAAAAATCCTAATTTCCTTCTAATGATTTTATATTTAGTACCTATACAATTAGGATTAAGATAAACTTTTAATCATTACAGATAAAAATTTTTAAAACAAAAAAACATTTTAACTAAATCAAATATATTCAAATTATTTTCTTAAAGACTTTTTGAAGTAATTTTGAAAGTATTTAAAAATAAATAAATCCTGATTTAGATAAGAATAAGATTAATTAAAATAATCCATAACATAATCATAAAAAATCAAATATAAAGATTATAACTATATGATATTATGAAGAAGGATAAAAATCGTTTTCCAAACGTAATTTTCTTGTGATATACATTGAATTAAAAGAGTATAAATTCAACCTTTACATATGGCAATTTAAAAAATGGTAAAATAATACCTATTATAGTGTTCTAATTTTATNTCTATTATTAAAAAAAGTAGACTTAGATTTCTTCTCAAAATTTACGAAATTCAATCAAATTTTGATTGTGTAACTTTCCAATTTATCTTTAATATATAAGGTAAGAATAATAATATCAAAAATATTAGAATAATAAAATAATTAAGGAGATATTCACTTTCTTAATTATTGAACAACTCAACAAAAGAGTTTATAAATTTTGATCAGATAATTGACTTAAAAGCGAATTCGTCTTTACAACTGTCTTTTATTTCTTCTCTCTTTGTACTAGTTTTGAACCAGCTCGTCATCCTTAATTCATTATTTCAACTTTTGATAAATTCATCAATTTACTAAACTTTATTAACCAATTATTTTTTTAAGGTGTTTTAATTTCTTAGTTGTAACCTTCTAAAAAGATTATATGATTTAAATATAAGTCTCAAAGCTAATTTTATGATTATCGAGATTCTTTCAAATAAATAAAATAAAGGATTTATGGACGAGAAAAAGGTTCTTTAGGCAAAGCTAATCCAGTTAACATACAATTGTCAATACAAAATTAAAAATTAAAGGGTTTAAAAAAAATTGATTCGTATAAGGATCTGATCTTACAACTTTACCTAATTTTTTTATCACATTTAATTTTTTTTTTTTTAATAATATGCATCTCATAATTTTGATTATCAGATTTTGAGTTCTTTTTCTAATAAATTTTTAGAATAATTTTCAGATTTCATTGGCAACTTTAATTCTTCTTCGTTAGCATTTACATATTTTCTTCAATTTCTTCACACAGATCTGCTTTTCCCTTCAGATTGAACCATTAAAAAAACCATTCCTCATTTTGCTTTTATTCATTTACATTGCTATATTTCCTGACCTAATTTTTACCACAAAAATCCTAATTTCCTTCTAATGATTTTATATTTAGTACCTATACAATTAGGATTAAGATAAACTTTTAATCATTACAGATAAAAATTTTTAAAACAAAAAAACATTTTAACTAAATCAAATATATTCAAATTATTTTCTTAAAGACTTTTTGAAGTAATTTTGAAAGTATTTAAAAATAAATAAATCCTGATTTAGATAAGAATAAGATTAATTAAAATAATCCATAACATAATCATAAAAAATCAAATATAAAGATTATAACTATATGATATTATGAAGAAGGATAAAAATCGTTTTCCAAACGTAATTTTCTTGTGATATACATTGAATTAAAAGAGTATAAATTCAACCTTTACATATGGCAATTTAAAAAATGGTAAAATAATACCTATTATAGTGTTCTAATTTTACAACAGATTTTTTCTAATCTATTTTTTTCTGTAAGAAAATTTATCAATTTTTAAAATATATGTGTATTTTTATTTTATTAAATATTTTTTTGAAATATATCACTAAATTATTAATTTTTATAATATATAATTATATTATGTCAAACATTATCATATATTTAGAAATGAAATAAATATTTAAATGAGGAATTCTTTAATATCAGATAACCTGATTCAACACTAGTTTACAATATAGGAAAATTGTAATAAAGAATTAGAGCTTGATATGTGGGATTAAATTCACTTCAGGCTTGTGAAAGTTTAAGTCCAAATATCATTTACTTAAGATAACTTTATTTTTTACTCGTTAAATGGAACGGTTTTGAGAATGTAAGAGATCTTCCTTAATATAAAAAGTGAATAACATTCAGATAAGTAAAAGCATCATGATCAATACAATAATATTGATTAGATAAAATATCTTCATTGGGAAGGAGAGTTTGGTTAAAATAACAGAAAGTCTGGTAAATGGAAAGCTAATTGGTCAGGTCCAGGTTATAAAGAAGTTGGGGGTTACTATGAGGATGGTTTAAAGTAAGGTTTATGGAATTAATTTACTAAGAATTATTGGAAGTATATTTGATATTCAGTTTAATTATAGTTAAGCAGAAATATGTGAGAATGGAGAATACTTTAATGATGAAAAAATTGGAGTGTGGAAATATATCTATAAAAATAATATTATGTATATTTATACATAATATTATATAGTGGTGGAGGATTATATAATAAATAAGGACAAAAGTAAGGTAAATGGATAGAGTTAAGCGATGGATTTTTTAATTTCTCATAAGTTACTTATTATGGTGAATATCGAAATGGTAAGAAAGTGGGTGAATGGGATATTTTATTTAGGGATCAAAGATCGAATAGATATCAAAAGATGTAAATATTAAAAGTATCAAATCTTAGTGGAGGTGGATCATATGATATTGGCATTAAAAATGGGATGTGGATTGAGTTGAGTGATAGATTTCAGATTTATTCAAAAGTTACTTATCATGGTAGATATAAAAACGGGAGAAAAATTGATAGATGGGACATTCATTTTAGTTATGAAGGCGAGCAAAAAATGTAAGATTAATTACTAAATATTAAAAATCAAATTTTTAGTGGCGGTGGATTTTATGAAGAGGTTTAGGGAGACTCGATCAAGATTGGGAATTGGATTGAGTTAGGTGATCTATTTTTGAGCACTCATCAAGTCGCTCATAGTGGTGAATATCAAAATGGTAAGAAAATGGGTAGATGGGATATTTTATTTAGGGATCAAAGGTCGAACAGATATCAAAAGATGTAAATATTAAAAATATCAAATCTTAGTGGAGGTGGATTATATGATACAGGAGTTAAAATTGGAATGTGGATTGAAATAAATAATGGATATCATATTTATTCAAGAGTCACTTATCACGGTCGATATAAAAATGGAATAAAAGTTGGTAGATGGTATATTTAAGCTTTGGAACAATTAGTGTAAACATTTGAATTAATAATAAGTAAAAACAAAATTTTTCATGGTGGATTATATGATGAAGTTGATGGAGGTTCAATTAAGATCGGAAGATGGGTAGAATATAGAGATGGGTTTAATTTATATTCATAAGTCACTTATGATGGGGAATATAAAAATGGTAAAAAAGTAGGTAAATGGGATATTTTTTATACGAAGTAAGGAAGAGAAACTTAGGAATTAATGTAAAATTTAAATCAATTATTTTAGTGGTGGTGGAATGTACAGTTATTAAGGTCTAAAGAATGGCAAGTGGATAGAAATAAATGATAAATTTTAAGATTATTCATAAGTCATTCACAATGGTGAATATCAAAATGGTAAGAAAATTGGTAGGTGGGATATTTTATTTAGAGAGAATAGAAGAGACACTCAATAATTGATGTAAAAAGATAAATAAAAAATTTTTTAGTGGTGGTGGATTGTATAATGAATAAGGCTAAAGGAATGGTGAATGGAGAGAGCTGAATAATGGATTTTTTAATTATTCATAAGTCATTTATAATGGTGAATATAAAAATGATTAGAAAATTGGTAGATGGGATATTTTTTTTAAGGGAGAAGATAGAAAAACTTATCAATTAATGTATAAATACTAGAAAAGACTTTAGTGGTGGTGGCTTTTATGAAGAGGTATAAAGAGGCTCTTTTAAGGCTGGGCAGTGGATAGAGTTGGATGATGAGTTTGAGTTTAATTAATAATTCACTTAAAAAGGTGAATATCAAAATGGAAATAAAGTTGGTACATGGGTGAAAATGGATATTAGGGAAGAAAAATTGTGAAAAAAGTAAATTGAAAGTTGAATAATAGTAATAATATAAATTATCAATCTTGTTCAGCAATCTAAAGAGAATAAGGAGTAGAAAATAAAAAGGTTTTATTATTTTTTATACTGATGTTTTTTTCCAGGCTTTAAATTCTATTATTTTTAATAAATTTATTAAAGCTGTTGATATGATACAATAGTTTGAGATTTTGGCAAAGATAAGGCTTAATTAAAATAAAAATGCTCTATGTGTCAATATCCATAATTTATTTGTGCCTGGAAGGAAATTATGAGCAAAATGCTGGTAAAATTATGTTAAAGTGTGATAATTAAATTCTAATGATGTTATCAAAACTAGAGTAAATTAATTAATTATATGGTTATAGCCTGTTTAAATTAATAAGAGGGTATTCTATTTTATGTATATACTAATTTTAAACTCTAATTTTCATCAAAGTTTCGATCACTATTTATCATTTTTCTTACTTTATGTGATGCTTCTTATTTGTAAATACAATTTTTTAATTTCAAAATTATTTTCTATTTAAGGCAATTTCAGGTCCTTTCTATCAATGTTTTTTTCATTTTTTGATGATTGCTTCCCTATCAATTTTCATTTCAATAACTAGATAGTATCCCTTTATTTTGAGAGATAAAGAACTTTATTAAATTTATTACAATAAGCATTAATTTTTTATTCCTGATTCCTTTTTTATCAAGAAAGATTAGGAAAAATAAATTAGATTTTGAGATTAATCTAAGTATTCTACAATACAATTTTATAATCTGACTTATATTCTTGTGATAATCTCCTAATTTATACTTCGTTCTTGGGCTCATTAAATAGTTTGATCTACAATCTTAATTTATTAGATTCTATGAATATAGAATATACTACTAAATAATTTGAATTTGCTTGAGATACTCTAATAACAATTTCGTCTTAAATTATTTTATTTAATTTCTCCTTTTATCATATTTATTTAATCAAAATAAAGTTATTTGATTGAAATTTATAGAATTATATTTAAGCAATAGCAATATAACAATTAATATTTCATTAACTTAAATTATGAACGATTAAGGTTTGGAATCTTCTAAAAAATTCTCATTTTATGAAATACATAAAAAATTAATTAATATCAATGAAGTATTCATAATAATAGTGCAATTGATTGGCTATAATTATAATTATTTACTCATAAAACCAATTAGGAAATAAAGATTTTTACTATTCTTATTTTGGTTAATAATATAAATTAATTAAATAATATGGGTGTTGAATTATTTCATTTGAGAAACTATGAAAATTGGGAAATTCAAACTTAATTTATTAAAAATTATTTTAATATTAAAACATAGTAGTAAAATATCACTCAAAATTCTTAATATTTAAATTTCATACATTGTTTCTTGCCAAAATAATTGAAAATTTCAATCATTACTTAATGTACCATAAATTTATTAATGAAGGAAATCCAGGCTTTTCTCATTTTTAAATATATCTGCTAATTTGCTAATTGAAATTATCTTTTTTTGAAGTATTATTATTTTCTTTAAAAGGCAAAATTACTCTTACAAAATTCAAACTATTTCTACTTTTTATTAAAATTCACTTTTTTTATTAACAATATTATATAGGGAAGTATCGATTACAGTATGATTTCCCACCACCAATTACTACAGAGTTAATATATTAATTATCAATAGAATTTAATGTATATATTTTCATAGGTGATGAAGATTGAGGAAGAAAGACAAATACTAAATCACTGCTAAAAGCAATTCGAAATCCATATCGTATTTCTATTATGATTAATATAAATGATTAAGCATAAAATCAAGAGTAAAAATATTTAGAACTTTTTGGATAAAATTTGAATGATGAAGTGGAATAATCTTAAGATTAAATCTAAGGCCTAATTAGAATTAATTTATCCGTACAAGCAAAATGAAAATCAGTAGATGATAAATTAGATTATATTTTGTAAACTTAAGCTTAAATTATGGTTTTTATTATCATTATCAATTATCATATTAAATTTCTTTTACTTCAATATTTCTATCTATTTCCATCCATATTCCAATTTTTTTGCCATTTTTATATTCACCATTATAGGTTACCTGTTTTGAGCCAAACAAATAAGAGTGAAAATCATCGCAAAATTCAGTCCATTTTCCTATCTTAATTGAATCTCCATCCACCTAATTATCATATGAGCCACCTCCTCTAAAATTAATTTCTTTAATATTTACATTTATTGATAGAGCTTATCTCCAAAATCTTTTTGCCAAAAAATATCCCAATTACCAACTTTTTTACCGTTCTTATATTCGCCCTTATACGTTATTTACGAATAATTGTAAAATCCTTCACTCAACTCAATCCACTTACCATTTCTCTAACCTTATTCGTTGTATGATCCACCACCACTTACAATTAATTTTACTAATACATGATTTAATTCTTATAAATAAATTTCCATTTTCCCCTTTTAAAATCGTTAAAGTATTCCCCACTCTCATAAACTTGAGCTAGACTTATTTTTATCTATATATTGCTTACCTCCAAAAGTTCTTAATAATTTAATTCCATAAACCTTATTTTAATCCATCTTCATAGTACCCTCCTATTTTATTAAGAACTGTTCCTTGCCAAGATGTTATCCATTTCCCAATTTTCTTTTTATTATTTCCATATTTCCCTTACTATTAAAAATGTTTAATCTATTCCATATTAGTCAATAGTTCTGGCTCCTTCTATGTATCTATGACTTATTCCCTTTTAAATTATAAATTAATTATTACATTCTCAAAATGACTCCATCTTATACATATTTGATATAATTATCTTCAGTAAATATGATTTGAATAGTTGTCTAAACTAATTTTACATTGAATTAATCCCATTTTTTAACTTCTAAATCTTTGGTTCCTATTTTCGGTAATTACGAGTCTAAGGGAATCATTTTATAAAATATTAAACTAATTTGTGTTACTTTAAAATATATTAAAAAATAATTACAAAAAAGTATCCCATTTCTTAATTTTTTGACTAAAAGATTGCGCTAATAATTTCTTTATTTTAGAAAATATATTAATATAATGATTGATATTAAGAAAAATTTGTAAGGTTAAGGGAATGATAAACAAAAATAAAATATGTTATTTTATTCAATTTTAGTGATAATTCAACAGATTTACTAGAATTTGTAGTAAAAATTTACTTAGTCAATTTAATAAAAAATAAATTTTTGTCAATGCTCTAATTTAAAATATTGATATAATTATTTCTATTCAAGTTGAAAGTAACAGTTCCTATGACGAAATTTTTAATTAAATTCAATAGTAATTATAACTTATTTATCAAAATTTATCTCCTTGAGCTTTTTAAATTCCTCATCATTCCATTTTCTATAAATTTCCCTCAATATTTCAACTTTTATCCCATTCATATGCCAATCTTAATTGGATATCCTTCCATTTTTTTATTATATATTCCACCACCACTTATAATTAAAAATTTATTATTGATAAATCTGTTCTTTTTATTTACCTTCACAATTCTTTTTCCAATAAATATCCCATCTTCCAACCTTTTTACCATCAATATATTCACTATCATAGTTGATTAAAAACTTTGCATTTGATATATCACTCAATCCAATCCATTACTTTATCTATATTCCTTCATTATATGATCCGCTTCCAGTAGAAGTTTATTTTATACTACATACATCTTTTCATTCTTTTTTGTTTTTTAATCTTTATACTAAGTATCCTATCTACCAACTTTTTTATTGTTTTTATATTCTCCTCTAAAAGTAATTTACGAATAACAATTGGATTCATCATTTTATTCAATCCATTATCCAATCTTACTTGAATCTTCATCATCATCATATGATCCACTCCACTATAAATTAATTTTTTACTATAGGTATTTATTGATATATTTTTGTCTCAGAATCCTTCTACCAAATATCCCATCTACCAACTTTTTTATTATTTAAATATTCACCATTAAAATAAATTTACCAATTCCAAATAAATTTATCCTATAAAAAGTTTAACATCTACCAACCTTTTTACCATGATTATAATCTCCATAATCATAATGATATAAATACATATTTTTATTATTATAAATATAATTTACAACCTAAGAAGACAGACTTGTTTAACAAGGCACAACCTATCCTTAAGAATTTCTAAAATCTGACCCTCATTTTAAATATAAGTTAAAAATTTTACTTTTAATCTCCGTTATAAACTATATATGGTAAACTACAAAATCCATGCCTCTCCTCAATCCATTTACCATTCATTTTTTATTTCCTCGTTGTATGATCCTCCACCACTTTTTGGTTTATTTATATAAATACATATTTTTATTATTATAAATATATTTCCATGGTCCTATTTTTTCCCATTAATATACTATCCAATGCTATAGACTTGAGCTTAACTAATTTATAAGATAAGGTTAAATATACATCCAATAAGTATCAATTAGTTCTTTGCAAAAATATGAGTTTTATCCATCCTCATAGTACAAAATTTATCTTGAATTTCACTCTACCCACCAACTTAATTTCAAAATTATCCTTGCCAAATAGCCTACCATTTACGACTTTTTCTTTTGTTATTTCCATATTCACCTAACCATTTAAGATTTTTTATTTCTTCAAGATTTTTCAAAATATCCAGATTTTCATAATATCGTAAAGTATTTGGCTTTGGATTAATTAAAAATATTTATTTACTTTCTTAATATTACACCATCTTATAAATAGATAATGCAATTATCTTATTCAATTTTGTTTTGTATTTTAGTCTTTATATGTTCTTATTATGTTTAATCCAACTTATAAATTTAATATTCTTTTAAGTATTACTTCAATTTGATTCAAAATAACTTTAATTTTAGGAGTTCATACTTTTATTTTTTTATTTGTATTTTTTTTTAATTTAGAAAAGGTTTAATTATTCAAAATGAATATTGCAATTACTTATGGCTTTTAATAATAATAAATTTCCATTAATAATTTAATGAAATATTCTATTCCTTATAAAATTAATTATGATACTATTTTAAATCTAATTATGATGATTTAAAATAAAATAATTTTATGAAATTTTTAGAAAAGTCTCTTGATAACACTTATATCTAAATGATATTAAAAATCAAGTTTAAGAAAATTTATGTTATTATAACGAAAAATACATCAATTTTTTAAATATATTAATATCCTAATTTTATAATAATATTAAATTAAAACTATTTTAAAACCTTTAAAATCTAATCAATCCTAGGAAAATTCTATATTATAGATAAGAATTTCGATCAAATCAGGGTTTTGTAATAAATTACATCATCAATTATCAAATTGATGTAGAATTCTAATTATTTATTTTTACAAGTTAGATGATTTGCTTTTTATAAATTCTTCATGCCTATTAACTAAAATATGAATTTATAATTAGAAAATAATAATGAAATTATTATTCCATTATTAGCTCAAAATTTTTGAACATTAAGACATATCTTAATATATCCATATTTAATACTCTTCAATTCATACAAAAAGTAATGTAATTTAGAATTTATCAAGTTTTAATTAAAGCTTTTTAAATGCAAATAATTAATTTAGAAATGATGTATAAAGAATAAAATAAATACATTTAATTATGAATATTAACTTTTTAATAATTATCTTCCATAATTGAATACTATTCTATATATTGATGTATTTGTAAATATTAAAATTTTATGAATAAATTAATTAAACTATGAATCAATATAATATTCCAAATTTATAACCAGAGTAGATATTTTTAAATGGAGAAACACAGTAAGATAATCTTAAGTAATTTATAATTTCAAATGAATGCAATTCTTAGAAAATTAAAGATACATAATCAAAAGTTAATTTCTAACTAATCTTATAATATACGATAAATGAAAAATGCTATACCTTGGATATTGATAAATCATTATCGCTAATAGTAATAGGAGGTATTAATGGATTAATACTTATACTTAAATTTCAATAGAACTAATTGAAAGTACAAAAATTAGTAAAAGCTCACAGATTAGTAGCGTGCATTGTGGTAATAAAAAATTCAAATTAATTCATATCAAGTGGGGATTAAATCATTAAAATCTGGTCTTTATAAGGGATTTAACTAAGGCTATTATAATCATTATATGGTCATTCCAGACCTGTAAGATGTTTGCTTATAAGTCATAATGAAGATCTAATTGTATCTGGTGGAAATGATTAAAAAATTAAATTTTGGATTAGAAATGCTAATGCTTGCAAATTTAATTAATAATTGTTAGAACACTCTAATTTCATATGTGGAATAAGTTTAAATGAATTATAAAATTAATTGATTTCTACAGCTTGGGAAGAACCAATAATAAAAATAAGTCAATAATAACCTTGTAAGACTTGGGTTGTTATTTAAACAATTGAAGTAAATTTATGGGGTTAAAGAATATGTTTTATAAGTGAATAGATGTTTTCATTTCAACCTTTCAATGGTTAGACTATGCACCTATATCAATTTTAACCTAAGAATAATATTTATGCTCTTTCCAAAACAATAGATGTAATATAAAGTAAAGAAGGATGTACAAACTTATTTCCAAAATAATTTATAAAATAATAATCTATATTGATAAATAAGAATGGAGAATGTGTTAATATAATTTTAATAAAAAATAATGATGAATGCATAATTTAATAATAAATCTAATTTGGTCATTATTGTATAAATGGAAACATAAGTCATGATGGGTAATATTTAATAACATGGGATTTGTGTTCAAGTTAAATTTAGATTAGATAAAATCTAAATAATTGATAAAATGATTAATTTAATTCTATTTTTAATTGAAAAAATGATTAATTTTAATTCAATTTTAAATAATTACAAATTAGATTGAATAAAATTAATTTAATAAAATTAGATATTATAAAATCAAATTAAATATAGAATTTATTTATGTTCATCTAATTAAATCTTTTCTTAATCATGTAAATCTAACAAACATTTCAATAATTATCGATAATTTAAAATGGCTTGAGAATGTTTACTCTATACTAATCCCCAAACTTTATCAATGCCAAGCACATCAAGACGAACCTTATAATTCTATTATTAATTACTTGATCATAATAATCTCTTAAAATTTTGTGAACTTCTTTTAATTAATTTCTATGAATTAATTCAAAATGTGCTTATTATAATATAAGATAAAATTGATCACTTGCTTTATTTGGATCAATAAAACTAATATCTTCGTCATCACTTTAAATATTGCTTTCTTATTTAGATGGTCCTTTTATTATAATCTCAGACTTTATATCTTAATTTTCTAAAGAGTTATTTTATTAAATCGTCATTAAATCATGATGCTTTACTATTACAGATTCTTCATTAATAAGATTAATTTATGTAAATTATTAACTTATTTCTTATTTCTATAATTAATCAATTGATGATGATGCTTATACTTAAATATTATCATCATTTAGTACTGTTGGCTTCTCTACATTTTATATTTACTCTTATGTTGATACTAAATCCAATTATTTAATATCATGTTAAGATATTTCCTAGTTATTTGTTATGTCTTTATTTACTTGAATTAGTTATAATTCTTCATTTTAATTTGTTTATTGTAATTTATCATTAGAAGTAAATTCACAATTTTGTTCAGTAATCTCCTTATTATTATATTCTAAAGTAGATTTTACATCAATTCTATTTTCTGTCATTTTGAATTATTTTGTATATTTTTCATGTTATGGCCAATCCCAAGATAATCTTATATCAGATCTATTCTTAAGAGCTATCATACTAATAATGAAGTTATTCTCCTCTCCTTTAATCATAAATTAATCATCTTAAACTAATTGTTAATATATTTACTTACTTTCATCAATTAAGTCATTTTTATCATCTGATACTTATTCAATATTATGATCCTATAATATATTAATTTTTTATTCTTCTTCTTCATTTTTTAAATTATTATTTTTATTCTATACTTCTATACTATTATTTTTTATTATTTTTGAATTAAGGATATTTCTAATTACTCTTTTTTATTTTTTTTCTTGTTCCTTTACTTAACTTCTTCTTAATCCTGTCCTTTTCTTGTTATTATCATAATAACTGAAAAAACAAGATGAATTATGATGTATCATTTATAGTTAACTATCGCATTTGAATTTACAGTAGTTACAACAATAGCCAGCATCTTTTTGTTTCTTTACAATACCCAATGACTTTAAGTAATTCATTTAATAATTCCTAAAGCCTTTTAAAATTTTGGTTTTGTTTCATAATTCTAATTAATGTATTGTGATGAATATTAAAATGAGAAATTTAATAATACATAATTTAATTGTTTTTCAATTTTCAAACTATTGTGGTTATCTTTAGTAATGTAATGATTATTATTAATCATCAGATGATAAATAAAATAAATATAAATAATATGGGGAATTAATAAGAATATAATATATTATTAATTGTTTAAATCTCAAAATATAATATTCATAACATAAATTCAATCTAAAATTATCTGATCATTTTACAATCATTTTATCATCAAAATAAACAGAAATAATTTGTTAATCAAATATTAATCAATATTTTGGATTGTTAATTAATTATATAAATGTTATAATATAAATTGAACAGAATAATTAGAAAATATTCAAAAGGAAAAAATTACTTAGATTAATTGCAATTAGAAAATAATTTTAATTGAATTATATACAATTACTTATTTCTTTTATATTTAATATTTTAGAAAAATATAATCAAATATATTGATTTATTTCTATTCAAAGCTTGAATAGATTAAATAATTTTAAGTTTGTTGACTAAAAAAAATATAAAATTTAAATAATCTTGATGTTAAATATTCAATTTATAAATAATATTAAATTATTTAAGATTAATGCAAGAGTTATCATAAAATACAGATTTTAGTTATAAATTAGTTTCCAATTATCATCAAGCATAGTCTAGTTAAGCACTTGCTATAAATAGATATAATACATTACTTCTTGTAAGTGCTTTTAAGAAAATCAAAGTTTTTTACTTCAAAAACAAATAATTAAAATATAATCAAATAATCAATAAACATTCAGATGAGGTGACTATTCTAAACTTCTTTTAAATAAAGCCATGGTTCATTTCAGGCTCTAGAGATGGTTCAATAATTATTTGGCCAACTAGTTTAATGAAATATCCAAAATATATAATGAAATTTAAAGGTCATTCTAATTGGATTAATTGTGTTGTTTTATAACCATTATCTTAAGATCTTATTATTAGTTTTTCAAAAGATTCTACTATTAAATTTTGGTCTGTTTCAAATACTTCATGCATGTAAACTATAAGGCTGATAAATTAATATATTTATTCATCATCAATAAATAATTAGGGAAATAAATTAATTGCATGTAGCAATACTAATTAAATACTAGTTTTAGAAGAAATAAGTTGTTTTAATTGGATTATTACATAAAGAATTGTAGTGTAAAATTTTGGTTATAGAATATCATTTATTACAAATAATATATTTGCATTTCAATCTCATAAATAAGCTAATCTATAAATATATTATCTAAATGCTTTAAACTAAACACTTTAAAAAATGAGGGATGTATAAATTTAAGGAGGAGATCAACCTTGTAACTTATATTTCCCTATGATTTATGTTCCATCTAAAAATTGTTTATTAGTAAAAAATGGATATAAATTGAATTTAATAAGTATAGTACTCTCTAAAGAAGATGAATTATTAGAATGTAAATTGTAATAAGTGATTGATTTCAAAAAGGTCTTATGGAGTTAAATATTTGGAACAATGAGTCAAGATGGATAATTCTTGATAACTTGGGATTATAAATCTTTTCTTATACAAATTAGAGAATATGTCCATCATTTATGATAAATTATTGTTTATAATTTTAATAATAACTCTATATCATATTTTCATTAATTTAGAAAAAGTAATTTATATTTTCAAATTTATTATTTAAATAATTAATTATATTTTGAACAAAAGTATAATATCAAATGAAAGTATATTGTCTAAAATTACTAATGTTAATATCGCTAAGAATGACTACTAAAATAGATTATTAATTGTAATTTAATAAATTAATATAATTTTTTAAATTACTATTAATAATCAAGTGTTATTGAAAACAATTAAAACAATATTAATCTCAACTATTTATAATATTTATTCTGTATCTTATTTTTCAAATTTTTGTTTCTTATTTATCTAGCAATAAATAAACAGTAAAATTATAAAAATCAATATAATTATCTCCTATATTATTTTTTTTTGAACTGAATTTTTTTTGTTTTGATATATCTTATTCTCATATTATTTTTTTAGTTTTCTAAGTATAAAAACAAAATCTATAAACTTCTGATCTAATTTATAAATATACTATTCTAAAATATTATTTCTCAATTTAAATTTTTAGTTTGATTTCTTTAGTTAAATCCATCAATCATATTTTTCTCATTTCTTTCCATTTCCCAACTTTTATTGTATTCATCTGAATGAGTTATTAATATTTCATTTCCAAAACTATCATCTAAATCAATCCTCTTTCCAACATAATTCCTTACTCATATAATCCACCATCACTGTCGCAACATTATATTATAGTTTTACATTGCATAGTAGCCATCCAAATTCCAAAATATATCCCATATACAAATTTTTTACCTAGTCATATAAACCAATATGAATTATATATTTCATATCACTAAACTAGTCTTCAAAATCTTTCCATTCGCTAATTTTAAGTCCATCCTTATTTATATCGTAATATCCATTGCCACTAGTATATATATATCTTTACATCTATCCAAAATTCTACTTTTTAACTTTTTCATAAACTCCAAAAAACGTTAATTAACAATTATGATTAAATCCATCTGATACTTCAACCTAATCGCTCAATTCAATACTATTTTCATCATATTATCCACCACTATTAAATGAATACGAAGAAGAAAATTATTTAATATATAATTTATTTTGCATCTTTTATTTTCATGCACAATATCCCATTTAATTACTTTTTTACGATAAGTATATTGACCATAAAGTTATAATTAAGAATTATTAGTTAATCCATCTTAGATTTCAGTCTTTTCCAATTTTTTTCAGGTTTTAATCATTATTTCCACACCATTAAAGAAATTTGATTTATTCTAAATTAATTAGGACCTCAAGTTTCACAACATAATCCTTTGATTTTTCTCTAATTTATTTATTTAAAATTATATTCTAAGTATTTATCCATCGTAATGAACTTAAGTTCATTCTAAAGAGTAAGATTTAATAGTAAATTTTTTTCCAATATCATCTATTATCTTGGTGGCTCCAACTTATACATTAATGTTTTTAGTTTTTATATAGATTTTCATTTTCACTTTTAAACACTCTTATTAATAAGCACTACTGTAATAAATTTTCCTTAAGATAATATCTTATTTTTTGATCTATGTTAGTTTTTTGAAATAGTAATTCCCATTTTTTATTCTTATATTTAAAAAAAATGAAACGTATATTTTGAAAAATCAAGGCTACTTGAGACTATATTTAGAATTGTTTTTTGGATATTTGATGATTTAAGATAAATTAATAACATCTAAAAATTAATTAAGAATAAATTATTGAAACTAAAATCATTCATTTAAATTACATAATTTGTTAATGAAATCTTAGTTCAAATAAAATCTTAATTTATTCACATTAACTTGTTACATCTTAAGGAAAATATAGATATTTTAAATTTCTTAACAGATTTTTCTTT